CCCTTCAGCCGTGAGGCGTTATAATGTGACGGTCAATCCCACTATTCGTTGGTAAAAGAGTTGGCGGTGGTTGGTAATGACTAGCTGCCTTCCCTCTAGCCTTACACTGCTAAATTACAGACGGCTAGCGCAGATAGCTCTCGTGTAGCTTTGCGCGAAATTCAAAACAAACAAACAAGTATATATATATATATCAGTGTCTAATATAAAATTACAAGAGAACTATAATAACAGCAATTAATTATTCGCAATATTAAACTGTCTTAAATAAGCTGCTTAGACCCTGGTGGAAGTTAGCAAAGTCATAAGTATGCAGCAATGAATAAAGCAGGGTATTATACAATACGTAAGGTATATATAAATATATATTCAGAAACTGAGCAAAAAAAAATTCATTATACTTTAAAAACTGTTGCACTCAATCGCAAATAAAATAGAGATTGTTTTATACATGCCATTTTCACACGAGTGTATTATCCACTATGTTACAGTTAAATATGTGGCAGTTTGTAATAGAAACCTAAACGTTTGTAATGACGTTACCCATGATACATATAACTGTTAAAGGTCTTTCCAGAATTGTAGCCTAGCATTTTATACATTTCTTTTCAGACGGAAATAAAACATCCAATACCCTACCAATGGTGGTTATGACAGTGAGAGAGTAGAGAAAAGCTCCAGAGAATGACCACTGCTGACCAGCCTCCACACCTTTGCCGTCGTAACCATCTCTGACCGCTGCTATTAGGGCTGTCTGGAATTCCTCGATCTCAGATGTCACAGTTCGGGTCCAGTTTTCTCGGTAAAGCACATTATAATGGTACGTAATATCCCACAATCGCTTCACTGTCTGTTCCCGCATCATGATCACTTCACTTTCCTTTACTTCTTCATAAGGAGCCTCTAGTGCCCGGAAAGCAAAAGCGCCCATGATACTGTAGCCGATAACTAGTCCACACAACCCGACATGGGAGAACATGAAAGCCGTGAACTTTCGGCAGCACGTCTTGCATCTGTTGACCGGGGGACGTTTCTTCAGAGGATGATGGCCTTCTCTTCTACTTCTGCGGGAAGTCTTTTTTCTCTCTGGTGGCATTACGGTAGTTAATCCTAAAACGGAATTAGAGCGAGAAACCGTTTAGTTTAGTATTCTGAACAACTATTGGAACAGGCGTTATAGAAATTGGCATTTTGTGTACGCAGCCTGAGTATTTTAAGGATCATTCACGACCTGCTGGCTTTGCTTCGCTTCTGTCAAGCCTTCACACAACTTAATCACATGGCCTGGGATTTGCAGTAGCAGCAGACTATAATGGTAGCACAGTTGTCAATATACCTCAGTAACTTATATTAGCCAGCGCCATCTGTTGGTTAAATGTTCAGTAAACTATTGGCGTAGTTAAAGAAGAAGATATTTCGTATAGGCCAAAATTGTTAATTTAAAAACCAAATAGCTGGAAGCAATTCCAAAGAACGCTTATACTGAACACACATTAAAAAAATCACGTGACTAATCATTCATGATATTGGAACTTATATTTACAGCTATCTTAATACATGTGCAAAATGTTTATACGACTTGTAAAATATTTTACTATCTTTAAACTAAACTTTTTTTATATTTTCAGTTCTCTGTAACACACATGACTGCCACTCTTATAACGCCCACACGTCCTCAAAGTAGAAAACGCGGCAATGGGATGCAAATCTTAGAACCACAGATTCACTATTTGGTACGCTAACTAACGAGCCACGTCAGACTCATTTCCATTCTATTTAACTGTTGTGGTCTTTTTCATCTCACAATCTTTGTATACATCGAATGCGTACAATAACTGACTTCGTCTGACTTAGTTGGTCTCTATTATACACCGAATGCGTACAATAACCGAACTCATCTGAATTAGTTTGTCTCTATTATACACCGAATGCGCACAATAATCGAACTCATCTGAATTAGTAGGTCTCTATTAGACATCGAATGCGTACAATAACCGAACTCATCTGACCTAGTTGGTCTCTATTAGACATCCGAATGCGTACAATAACCGAACTCATCTGACTTAGTTGGTCTCTATTATTCTTTACAACTAATACTGTATATATGTTGAAATAAAGAAATTCACATTTTCAAAGGGTTATTAAATTATTGGAGAATTTTCCAATTAGGCTTGCCTCGTGGTTGTTCAGCGGTAAGCTGGAAACCTTATAACGCTACAAATCGGGGTTTGATACTCACATTGAGCAAAATGCAAATAGTTCTTTGTGTAGCTTTGCGCCTAAACAGAACCAAAAGGATTTGGTTCTTCAAGCTTTTATGCGGGTTTTGCCTCCCTTGGTCGGATAGCTGTAAGTTTACGTACTTACAAAGCTAAAATCCGGGGTTTGATTCCCCGCGATGAACACAGTAGATTGTCCAATGTGGCTTTGCTCTAACACATACAAACGAACGAATTAAGTGAGTTTTACTACACTGAGAAGCTATAGAGAAAGAAAATCGAAAAATACTGTAGTAAAGTTACCACATTATTGGTTAAAGTTCCTAAAGTCAGGAAAACATTTAATTTTTGATGTAGAAAATAAAAAGTTAATTTTGACGGTGATGGACCATAAGATGTTCTTCTTTAACTATCGTAACTTTAAAATCCGAAAACGTTTGTAATTAACTTTACTGAAATAAAGACTTTCTTATAGAGTATATGCTCTATTATTTCTTAACATTCTGGTTTATTTATTCGGCAAAGATGTAATTATTTTAACATATCAATATACCTCGCATTTACTATTTACTTCTTAGAAATAGTATAAATGCTGCTCATTTTGCGTGTTCGATATTTGTAGTGAAATGTGGCCTTCCAAAAGATTCTTCAGAGACATGGAAGCCCAGATTTCGGGCTAAGAACCTACTTTCTCAAAGAACATCATTTTACTGGTACAGAAATCGTGAGAAAGAGTTAATACCATACTTTTCACAAGAAGGTTCACTGGTTTATTGCAACAATATTGCTGAATTAATACCAATACTAGGAGCTGCAGTCTATTGTGGCGATTGTTCATTAATTCCTCCAAAAGAAGTCTAAAAGGTGTTCTTCACAATGGTAACATATATGCATTTGTTCCTATTGCTCGTTCGGTTCACTTAAAGGACACGTGTAAAAATCTCGAACTTCTTTTTAATAAGGTCAAATATAAAGAACATGATTGGCTAATTTGTGGAGACTTAAAAGTCTGCTGTATGTTGTTGGGTCAACAATCAGGTTATACAAAGTTTCCATGTTTTTTGTGTGAATGGGACAGCAGAGCACGAAATCAGCACTGGATAAAGAAGCAATGGCCACAAGAGTCAACCTGATATCAGGATTGAAAAACATTGAACGTGAAAGTTTGGTTGACACAAAGAAAGTCTTATTACCTCCACTTCACATAAAATTGGACTTGATGAAGCAGGTTGTAAAGGTCTTGGACAAAGATGGCGAACGTTTCGAGTATCTATGTTGGAAATTCCCAGCTCTTTCAGAAGCGAAACTTAAAGAAGGGATTCTTTTTGAGCCTGAGATTAGAAAATTGACTTTGGATGAATAGATCGAAAGGACAATGAGAAAAGTTGAAGAAGAAGCATGGATTGCCTTTTAAAGATGTTATTGACAATTTGTCAGGAAACAACAAGGATCCAAATAACGAAAATGATTCACTAATATGCTCGACAAATTCAAAGAGTTGGGTTGTAATATGAGCTTGAAAGTTCATTTCCCTGAAAATCTCGGTGCCGTAGTGTACGCGTACAATAACCGAACTCATCTGACCTAGTTGGTCTCTATTATACACTGAATGCGTACAATAACCGAACTCATCTGACCTAGTTGGTCTCTATTATACACAGTCGCTACTATAATTCTCTACCGACATCTGTAAACCACTTACAGATCGTAGTCTTGCACGAATTAACAATAATTAAACAAGACACGTTCTGGCTTTTTGCAAAATTTATTCCAAGTCGCGTGCAGGCTGTTATCAAGCCTAAAGATGTTTCAGCATCGAGTTAGACGCGGTTCCTGATAAAGTGAACAATCATGTAGTTATTTACCAGAAAAGTTCATATTTCTTATACTGTAAATGACATAAGTAACTATTACAGATGTTAACCAATAGCTTAGCTCAAGATGCATTTAATCATTTTACCAGTTTCATCTGACAAAACAGGTCAGTAAGAAGCGGTAAAAAAACTACTGTGTAACTTTAACGTTTTCCAATTTACTTGAAAGAAGTGCTCACCAAGGTTTTTAATTCTGTAATTCAGAAGCATAAACTGTATCAAAATGATCATTAAGCTACAAGTTTTTATTAAAAGTATAGATTTATCTTACCGTGTTTATATATATTTTTCAGCTATATTAAAACTTTACTTGGATATAATTATCATTGATTATTTCTCTACCAAAGTCACCTCTTCTGCAAGATTTATAGATATTTGAAATAGTGTTAATAATTCTTTTTTTTTCAAACCCCCAGTTAAACAGCGGCATGTCTGCAGACTTCCAATGCTAAAAACCGTGTTTCGATACCCGAGGTGGGCAGAGCACAGATAGCCCATTGTGTAGCTTAATTTCAAATAAATAAACTTTTCAAACAACATTTTCAGTTTTAGTAAAATAATTGTATGAAAAATAGTGCCATCAATTTAGATAAATTAAAAATTAAAAAAGAAACATTATTGTATGAAACCAATATTGGAACGGTTAAACTTACTTTACACAACAGTAAATAAAGAAAATTAAAAAAAAAACGAACTAACGAGAATAACTGTTTAATACTAGGTAAGTTAACAGAATAAATCAAGAGAGGTTTATAAGGACCACCAAACTATGAATGGTTCCACACAGTCGTGCAATGATTTTAACAAATATAACATTCCTCATCACAGTATGACTATAAAAAAAAACACTATGAAAGTGATGAAAATAGGCTACGTATTGAATTAAAAATCTGTCTCGTAACTTTGCTCCTGAAGTCAGACTTCTTACAATGCACACATTTAAGAAATATTTCAGAAAACATCAAACTTTACCAAAGTGGGTCTAGCAAGTTTTTAACAAGTACATGAAAAGCAAAAGGCATTTCCTTTCGCAAGTAAACAAATGCAATTAACTATATAATTCATAAAAGTTTGATATAAAATTAAAATTAAAACTTGGTAGGTTCGAAGCAAGAAAACTGTTGATATCGAATACAAAAAATTCCTGAGGCAATGGGAAACATATTAAAAGAAAACAAGCAAAAACTAACAAAATATATATTTTAATCAATTGCTTAAAGTCGATTTTTATTTGTTTCTAAATCAGATAGAGGAACAAAAACAATATAGGCTTTCAAACTTTACTAAGCATAGTCTAGGAATAATGTTTAAATTTTAACTCGATTATTCACGATAGAAAAAGCAATGAATAAAATAAAACTTTAACCACATTTGTTTGATCAAAAATCAATCGCCGATAGCTCATTTTCAGTAGTTCATTTCTAAGATGGATTTTGTTATCTGAAAGTTCATGCTGTACGAGTAACGTGTTAAATTTGATGTTTGACTGATGATGAAATATACTTACTTTTCTTGATATTTTAAGGTACAGTCAGAATTTGAAAGAAAAACGTCTTTCATATTTCAAGATAATAATGTAAATAAACACATTTATCACATCCTCTTCGTAATGCTAATATAACAAAATAAATATGGCTTCAAGTAGATGGCATAAAATGCAGGGTGATGATAAAAACAATGCTAAATTTAAATTATTATATCTTAAACATTTCTTTTGCTACGAAGACAAATTTTATCAAAAGCACGTTTTAAGTTTTATTTAGGAAAGTTTTGACATAATACTGCGTGTTTTAAAACTATTTATAATCAAATAAAGGGTATAATAGAAGTACTTCACAAAAGAACAGTAATCAAATTGGTATGTTTGTATTTTCTCTAATAATAATTTGAAAACCGTATAAACTACACAGCACATTTACTTGAAAAAAATCAAGCATGGTTAAAGTATGGGAATATATTTAAATAAACATACGCTAATCAAACGTGTGAAAAAGATTTTTTAG